TGTAATTCATTTTCACATCAATCATCAGATAATAAAAACAGACTTTTCTGTTGATTCTTCATCAGCTGTCACCTATGAGGTGCTAATATCTTCCACTCCAAACAAGAGCACATCAGAGATAATGTACCTCACACATTTTACTCTTTAGTTGCAAGGTGTTGCATCCCTTTTAATTTATGTAGCAGAACACAAATACAGTGCGTAACAAATTTATTAGACAATATGTCATAAAAAAGAAATATATTTTAGAAATCTGTCAAAAACTTGTCTAAAACTAAAAACCTACTTAATGAACTGATGTTGTGTTTTTATACCACGTTTGAGTCGGCATACTGGACTTTTCTGGGAAGTCAGAAATAAATCAAACATCCGACCACTAAAACTAATTAATCTGTTCAGGAATGCAAATTAAAAAACTGTAATTTGGCATCTTAATCAACAATAATAGTGTGCAGTACTTTTTTCTGTAAAACGGTAAAAAATAATTAGATTTTTAGCATTAAAAATATTTCAATCAAAAAGCTGGAACTTTTTGATTGAAAAAAGTTCCAGCTTTTTTCAATTAATGATTAATGATTACAGACACATAAAAAATGATTTTTGGTAACTACCAATACTGTGAAGGACTGCATGTGCTTACTTTTTTCAACTAGAAAAGAGAAGTTGGACTGATAAATGAGTTTTCGGGGGGGAAAAGACACACTTCTGTGTAACTGTCAGATACATGACGACGAGAGCAGAACAGCAGAGGAGGCTGTACAGCAGTTTCTCCACCTATAAAGGAAAGTGTGATGTACTGTTATTGTGGAATGACATTTCATATAAATGTGCATCGTATGCACACTTGTGCAACAATGTGATTTTCCCCTTACATGCTCACACGTGTGAATGTCCCCATCTACATTCAACACGCAGTCACTATTATAAACAACCGCCTCCGACAGACACGCAAATTCATACATGTGCACAGCAACAGAGCAAATGACAGATTCAGTGAAGGCGACAGGCAGGAGGAGAGAAAAGCAGGAGAGAGGGGAGTCAGGGAGAGGGAAGGTGGATGTGACATGATTTACAATGAGATCATTAACCTTGAGAAACAGAATGGCCTGTGCGACATAAACACTATCTCTGAGACAAACACCCTCTTAGAACAATACCATGTGTTCACGCACAGACACACACACAGACACAGACTGATGTACGAAAAGGCAAACACACATCCTGTGATCCTTAAAATAACACGACTTAAGCTGTGTCCCAGACACGGTGAAGATGTAATGGATTCACACTAGAAGAAGAACAAGAAGTGGCAAAATAAAGGCATAATGAGAAAGAAACGTGAAGCAAACTATACTCCCCTTCTCCTATTTTCTTGGGGGGGGTTTTGGGTAAGAAGACAAATTCTTAAAATGCAGTAAACACAATTAATGCAGTAGCTGCTCAGAGCTGAAGTGACTGCTTCAGGAGAAAGGGTGCAAAACTTCAGCTAACCAAAAATATTCAGACATGCATTCTGATTTTAAAAATGATATACTAAGACATTTAGATGTTTATATCTGATCATGATTTTGTACAGCAGAGACAGTGGGCTTCAAGCCACAGTACTTCCAGTGTTGGTCCCAAGCCTGGAAAAAACTGGGATGGTTGCATCTGGATGGGCATCCGCCATGAAATCATTGCCAAATCAAACATGCGGATGAGATTTTCTTACTGATTCAGTCAGGGCCCAGAACAACAGGGTTCTGGTGGAAAATGTGCAACTGTTGGACAAAGACAAAAGACGAAGAAAGGGGGAACACCACAGAGAAGATTCATAGTTAGTGAAGGAGGGTTGGTGTGACAGAGGAGGATGGGGTAAAGATGGTAAAAACAGAGCTGCTGAAAGAAGAAATTAGATTTTTAATCTCAATGAGATTTTTACCTGGATACATTTTTAAAAAAGGATTGCTAGAAGAAGCGATTTTAAGGATATGGGTACAATATCCTGCACTTTGAGTGCAATGAGCTATAAGCTAATAAGAGCATGCTAACACAGGACATTTACAAGGACATGCTAGCACATGTAGTTCTGCATGTCAGGTACAAACCACCTAACAGTTCTTTGAGTACACAGTATATTTACAACAGTCTTACTGTACTATTTTAACAGAGTATCAAATTAAATTTATACCAATTATGAATGCAAGTTAACAATCTTAGTAACTAAAATACTCATATGAATATGATAAAAATGTAACTTACAATTGTATGCAAGTTACATGTTGTAGTTTCCCTCAGATTTAATATTTCTTTTGTGTTTCTCAGATTTGTAATTTGGACCGTTTCCCCAACCTTTTCCCAGCTACATGCTGCCTATGTCTCTTTGTCCACTGCATTATGAGCACCAACAGCAGGCTGAGGAGTCTTTTGTATTTAACATACCAACTCTGTGCTTTGAGAACATTTTGCTGCTTAGTGAGAAAAATGCTGTTAAGTTAACAACAAATGCAGTTAATGTGAAATTTGAGATTGTAGATGTAAAGTAAGGTGGGTCGGGAAATTTATCCTCACCACAGGGAGCAGTCTAACCCACAAGGTGAAAACTACACAGAATTCGTAAAAAATATATAATGTTATCACTCCAACTCCAGCAGTGTGGATACCAGCATTATGTGACTAAAATATGCAAATTAAAAATTGTTCATTCATTTAAAGCTGTTTGAATCATAAATAACGTGCTGCTGTTTCTTTCCAAAAATGTAACATAAAAATATTTTCTGCTTTTGTACATACATTGTACATTTTAATAAACGCGGTGTAACAACAACAGATCCAGTAGTCACCTGTTATGTAAATAAATGTTTCACTGAATGTATCCTTTTTCATCCCAAGCTGGTAAGATTGCTGTTACCAGCTTCTAGTTCCTGTCCGCCATAGAAGTCGTACAGCCAGGTATGATCATGCTGTGGTCGGTGCAGTCAGGGTGTGACAGTCCCGGTACAGCGTCGCATGGAGCGCATCAAACTCACTGAGTTCCCTCTGGTCTTAATCCGCTCACTGAGCTCATCAAACGTTCCCCACGATGATCACTGTATCAGCTCCAGCACTGAAACCCTGTTGTTTACACCGTAGCTCCTCTGAGATTACAAGCAAAAATCACCCCCCACAGAGCATCTATGAAGGGGAAACTATCTATATAGGCCAAAACTACTTTCTGTAAACATGCCTTCCTATGCTTCACAGTTGAGGATTTTAACATCAGGCTAGCTTTTACTCCTTGTTAACCTCACAACCTTCAGCAAATTCAGCTGAATTGCTCCTCTGCAAACCATACATGTGTGAATGTGCATGGTAGCTCTTCTGGTGGTTGTCGAGACACTTCCATCGTGAGCAGATTGACATCCACAGACCAGTGTGGCTAAAAAACAATGTGACCATCAAATACATCACAGTGATATGCTTCAGATTAAAATGCAACCACACATTCATCACACAATCCTTATTTATTAACCATAAACGTACATCATTTCTAGTATAAATATTTAGTTCTCATAAGACGTGCCGGCAGATTCCCTCTGGTAAATCCAGCTGTAAACATCTACAATCAAACACTGCCTACATATGGAGGAGAAAAAAACCTCATTCATCATCTGGCACAAAGGCTCATGGGATACATATCGACAAAAAGCCCTTTCACAAAGTGCATTATACAGCAGTCATGTCGCAGTGTCTTTATATAGAAACTCCCATTTAAGAATTGTAAAATATATTTGGCAACTTGTCACTCTTAATGAGCGGATGTATAAAAATCAATTAGCATTTTTCCTTATTTTCTCCTGTCAGTTCTTCACAACATAAATTACAAAATGGGTTTAAAATGGTGGAAGAGATTTTGTAAAACCTCTGGATAGAGCAAAACAGTTAAATCAATGTTACTCTGTCAGTATTGTTAAATGATGAGACACTGAGAGGATTGCTGATTGAAAACTTGGATCATCTTCCACATTAAACCTTTTAAAGGTCCACATATGAAAAAATTCAAGTATTAAAGTAACAGAATTTTTGGACTTGTGTGATTTAAAGGCTGAGGCTCGTGTTTTCTGTTTGACGTACTGCAGGTTTTGCACATTTCTCATAACAAAACACTCTAATTAACTCATCCAGAACATTACACAGCAAAAGCATAAAAAAAACCCCAAGAAAATCATTCTAAAGATGATTCTTTTTTCTTTCTAGAGACAGTAACAGCTTTGTGCTTTTCATGAGAACTTGTCCCGTTTTTGCTCACTTTAAATGTAAAACCATCAAGAGTGATGGTTAAACTGATGGGGAAAAAACAACTAAATACTGAAGCACTGAAACTTACATTTTGATATGTGCGTAATGAAGATGGGAAAGCTTGCACACACTCTTAATGTTTGCATGCACACAACCCAAGCAGCCACATTCCCCTCTGTCTTCAGCTGCAACCACTAGAGACAAAGCACTGAAATAAAGCCTGTTTACTCAAGATAAATAAAACCAAATGCTTTCCGGGTTCTTCCTGTGGTTCTGTTTCTTCCATTTAAGCTTCGTCATGATTGCAACACATCCATTTCATCTAATTTCTGACAGCTGAAAAGGCAACAGTAAGAAAGATATGTGAAAGGACTGCTGGGCTCATTCTACCGCAGCATTAATGTCCACTGATGCGTCAGTTAAGACTCTGTTAACATCAGAGTTGAATTCTTCCACTGAAAAGTTTTACAATCAAAGTTACCGTTAATAAATCAAGTGATTAGATTTGATCTCAGCTTGCAACAGACGCTTTCACAACAAGAGGCTCCCTGTTTGATTATGACTCAATCGCATGTGTTTGCCAGCAGTCAGAGCTTTTCTGGGAACAATGTACTACAATTATTACTGTATATTATTTTTTTTCTCATAAAGAATTTTTATCTGATGTATTTATGGCCACTTATTTACGCAAAACCCCACATCCCTCCCTGTTTTTTTTAAAAGTATATAAACACTTTCTCAACCCTTTTTGTTTGATTTTGATACTTTTGGATATCAAAACATAAAATTTCTCATACTATGAAAAGAAGATTTTAACTGACACACACATTAAGCGGTCACATTCAAATACGAAAGCGCCTGAACTTTGGATATCCTTCCTTATGTATATTTAAACTAGCTTTCATAAAAGTGCATGCTGACATACCGTAGTGTAATATTGTTATTTACTTATGTGTTTTAATGCTGTGACCTTTCCGCTGTGGCTGCTCAGCATCAGAAGACTCTGAAGTGATACCTATGCACTTAAACAGCCTTGACAGTTTGAAAAAGTCAGTGTTACACATCCTCATGCTGCTCCTGCCACACTCAGAGGAGGTCGGTTCCATCGTAGACCACAGGCTTGTCTAGACTCAGATGATACAGCACTTTCTTAGAGATGAACCTGACAAATAGGAGAGAGAGAAAAGGCTTTATGTTCTGCTTTGTTCAGTCTTATTCTGAACAGTTGTTGTTTAGAGCACAGCGTGACTAACCTGGAGAAGGAATTGTCAAAGATAAGTGTGTATTCTCCAGGATTTCTGACTTTTAGTTCCCCCTGTATTGTCTCCTTGTGGGAGTTACAACGGGTCAGAGGGATCAAAACCTGCAGAGAGCAAAGGAGAGAAATCCTGGTTAAGGATTTCTTCTGTGTACACAAGATGGCAACAGGAGGCAACATTTTACCAACTGTGAAACCAATTCAGAATCAGCTTACTGAATCTAAATCCCAATAAATGTGCAGAAAAGCTGTCGGACTTTCTCCACTGCTCCGTGACCTTTTTTAACCCTGTCCTGACACATTTTTGTGTTTGTTGCCGGGCAGCTTACACAGTGGGCGGCTCTGCTACGGCTGCATAAGAACCACAGTAGAATAAAATATTAGCTCTGCTTTATCACTGAGGAAATATGAACTGAATAATTTAGTTGCTTCTGCATGCACACTGCATATTACATCAGGGGTCACAGAATACAGCCCCACACTATCAGCAGGCTGGGAAAGGCCGCTTGTCCCTCTCTGACTTGATTTATTGCTAATAAATATTTAGTAAAAATCCTGCAGCAGTCTGAGGTGTTTTGTTGACTTTGATTAAATAAACTGACACAAACTTTTACTTCAATCACTGGTGGTTAGACGGTTAGGCTAAACACACATCCACGGTATTATTAAGGTTACACTATATAAACAATCTCTAAACTGTAAACCATAAACTGTAAACTATACATGTACAGTTTATCTGTCATTGACTGCCTGGCAAATAGAAAAAACATATCCAAAATAAAAAAAAAACAAAAGTAAAAATACAAAACTATATACAAAAGCATGTGTACATATACCCGTATGCACATCTGTGTATATGTCAACCCATCAGTGCCAGAATTTAAACGGGAAACACTGACCAATCAGGTTTGAGCGGGCTTTGGATGCACATAGGTGAACGATCTGTATAGAAAGCAAAAAAATGGCGGCATTTGCCAGAAAACATCTGAAACCGTCAGCTATCGTCTGACAGCGTTTTAATTTTTTTTAATTAATTTTCATTTGTAAGTAATGACCTGAAAGCTTAGCCCCGACAACTGCTGCAAGCACAGGAAGTCCTCCATATTCTAAGACATCAGACTAGCAGATTGATTTTCATATCGCATCAGTGTTAAAAGTTGGCTATTAACACATCCATTACTATTCATTTGGAGTCATGTTTGTGTGGCGGTAGTCACGGCAGTAGTGCCTTTTGGTCACTATCCTCTCCTGAGGGGAACATCTGGCTATTTAGCTGCTGAATGCTCCACTGCGTTCAGCAGCTGTTAAATTGTGTTTGTTGAACACCAAGAACACTGAGACTGAGTCAGTGCTAAAAAAAATCAGTTTGAAAGATAACCAACAAACCCAGTGTTGTGATGAGCTGCATATGCGAGCGACTGTTTTCTGTAGATCAATTCTATTCTTTCATATTGCTTACCCTTTTCATTTTATAACTATCAAATGAGATCAAATGTTCACGTTAATGTTCACTGGTGAGTTTATATTCCTTTGGAGATCGGTTTACAGTTGAATCCACTTTATTGGAATGGAATTGGATGGAAATGTATCTCTGTGAGGACGTGTCCTTCACCCATGGTTATACACATGCTGGGCTCTCACCTTGGCTTGTTCCAGTGGAGTCTCAGTGCTCTCCCTGTAGACCACACTGAAGGAGATGCTCTTTGGTTCAGATGTGAAGGTCCAGGACACGGTAGGACCACGGTTGCTCATGGTGATGGGGATGGTGCTGTAACAGCTGGATTTGATGAAGAGTTCTCGGGGGCTGTCGCCAAACGCTGCGATGTCATCCACCGTGAAGTGCACAGAGAACCTGCAGCATGTGGAACGAAACATTTCACGCTGAAACAGTGGCACTGCAGTACCCAACCCAGTTTAATCCCATATCATTTATCCATTTTTTAAACAAAATCCTAATTTCCAATTTACTTGATATTTTTCAGGGTTTTTTTCAGTTTATCCAGTCACTGTGCACAAAAAAGTATTCCGATATCTATCAAACACCTTAAGAAACACACCACATTTACTGTTAATGAGCTAGAATAAGTAACTTCAGGGTCATATTTCTGTTAAACTGTAAAAAATATTAATTACAAATATAGTTGGCTGGTATCTTATGCTACATGACTGAATTTGCAGCAGGTTGAGAGCAGCTAAAACGCTAACATTTCTCAAAACACAGTGGTAATAAGAAGTACCGTGATTCCCAGACTACAGAGCGCACCTGATTAAAAGCCGCATGCTCTAATTTTAGAAAGAAAATAAATTTTGTACTTGTACAGGCCGCACCGGATTTTAAGCCGTATGCATTTCATCTGTAATATGAGATATTTACACAGAAATATTACATGTGAGGACTTTTAACGTTTAATTTAATCCGTGAGGTAACATAAACATGGTAACATAAACGTTATGGTAACATACAAAAATTCATACTGCAAATGCTTCTTTTCCTCGAACAGCGCCTGTAACACGGCTACCTTTAAGTACACGTACGTATCAGTAACACACAAATTACGTTGCTTATGGTTTTTTTACAACGTCTCTTAACAACCGGTAAAAATATATACCGTATATATACTACTTATCAATTTTATTGGTCTTCTGTTACCAGGCAAAATGTTTTTGGCCGCATGAAAAAAAAAAAGATGCATTAGCCACATGTCAGTATAAGCCGCAGTGTTCACAGTGTGGGAAAAAAGTAGCGGCTTATGACCCAAAAACTACGGTATGTTGAAGATTTCTGCAGAATTCCATAAATCTCTGTAGAGCTGAAAAGATTGACGTGCAAAAACACAAGCTCACATTGCAACATTTCTTTTCTGATTAAAAAGGAATTTGAAAAAGTTATCTTGGAAATGAGAAACGTCTGAAATCCTACAGACCAAACCTTCATTGATCAGCTGTCAGATCGATTGATAACAAGAAGAATAATACTAGTAGTGTGCGGCTAGCAAGCAACCTTGAGCTGCTCACCCCTTGTGGTGATGAGAAAATGATTACAAAAGTCTGGAATTTCACTTCACTCTTTTTGAATCATTTTAATCTTGACTGGTTCCATCTGACGCTCACTGAGTGGCATAAATCATCTGGTCATATGACTCGCTTTATACCATGTTTACACGTTTGAAGTAGTGCATTCCCTGAATCTATAAATAGACTGTTTCCCTTTAAAATGTTGAAATTCAAAGTCCTGTTTACAGTTTTCGACCTTATCAAAGGTGTGTTCTTTAACACTGTAACTGAAAAACAGTGCTAACAGCAGAAAGTTTCCACACAGCCTGAACAAACCAGCTCCAGGTTACACCAGAAGTGAAACTGTGGATCTGCAACATGTACTGCACAATATTTAGAGAAGTTGATAACCCCCAAACCAGATTTGCTTCATTTTTCAGTTCCCTTTTAGAATGTAGTTCAACACTTTTATCACAAAAAGACAAGAGAAACTTCTTCTGAAAATTAGAAACCCAAACAAAACATTTGACCTCACAAAATGCAACTACACTTGTGGCTTTCAGGTGTAACTTTCACAGAAACTTACGTCAGTTCTCCAGATTTCAGCAGGCAGATCTCTGCGTCCTGTACCGCAGCGCTGAGGTCGTCAGTATCCTCTGATGTGACGTCTCCCGCACTGGCACTGCTGTTTCTAATCAAAACGGCATTTATATTTCAGATCAACACATACTTTACGGCTCATTATTCAAGCATTTTTTGAAGCTTAAAGCAAAAACACTAGACTGAATACATGTATGAGACTGAGCAGCAGTCTTGAGCTTCCCCTTCTTTCGTTATATTTTGCTAAACAAATGAAAATTGTAAGAAGGGCATATGTGGGAGGCAATATTTAAGAAAATCAGTACAGTTATTACAATAAAAACACTGAATTTTGGAAGCAGTTGATTCTTGTAGACATCTAAAGCATCAAGAAATATATCTACCAAAGCCTCATCGCGCAAGTTTTGATCATTTAAAAACAAAATCTATTTAATAAACAAAACTCACTAGTTTTTCAAGTTTTACAAAATTGTTTCAGTTTATATAATCCAGTGTTTTTAATTTTAATCAGACGTCTAGTTTTTATTTTTATGGTAGTTTACTGAAATGTAGTTTCAGTTAGTTATAATAACCATGGCAGCAACTGATAGAATCATGCGCTCACACAAATTGAAAGTCGATATTTGTTTTTCTTTCTTTCTTCCCCCCTTTCTCACCGTCTCTTCTCCCCTCTGTTTTTCTTTCTCTCCCTCTCTTTCTTTCATTCTTTCTCCCTGTCCTATCCCCCAGTCATGTCTGTCCCGTTTGTAACAACCGAAGATAAAATAAAATAAATACATAATTATAATAAAGGTCAATCAAATGGACCAATATGGCAAAGCCATGATGATCCACTTGGTAAAATAAATCCGCTTGGCATCTTTCTTGGCCTTAAGACAACAATTCTGATGGCTAAAGATCCAAACAGGACAAAAAAACCCAAAAAAACAAAAACAAAGTTGATATTTGGTATGAGCACCTTTATTCTTCAGCACAGCCTGGCCAAGTTTTCTTGTGATCTCTTTAAGCAGTCATCATAGAACCATAGAGAAGCCTGTAGAAGTACTCCTGTACTTCTACAGGCTTCTTGAAGTGCATTCAAAGCTCTTCTTTGGATGTTTCTACCTTTTGTTTCGTTTTCGGGCAATCGTGGCTCAAGAGTTGGGAATTTGCCTTGTAATTGGAAGGTTGCCGGTTTGAGCCCCGGCTTGGACAGTTTCGATCGTTGTGTCCTTGGGCAAGACGCTTCACCCCTTGTCTACTGGTGGTGGTCAGAGGGCCCGGTGGCGCCAGTGTCCGGCAGCCTCGCCTCTGTCAGTGCACCCCAGGGCAGCTGTGGCTACATTGTAGCTTGCCATCACCAGTGTGTGACTGGGTGGGTGACTGGATGTGTAAAGCGCTTTGGGGTCCTTAGGGACTAGTAAAGCGCTATACAAATACAGGCCATTTACCATTTCTGTCGAGATGATGCCAGACTGTTTCAATAATAATGTTGATGTCCAGTCTCTGGGGAGGACAGTGATCGTCTAACTGGCATTGTGTTTGGGATGAACGCTGTTGCCAAGCTATAAATTCCAGACGGCATTGCATGGTGGATCAAAATCCGATGGTACAAGTTTTCTGTTATGTGTAGTCACAACACTGGTTCATCCTTTGAGTTAGGTGACTTTCTTGAATTACTCATAGATCAGTGTTGACTGGCTTGAGTTTGTTAAACAAAGCAAAAAAGAACATTCTTCTGAAAATGATCCAGTAAAATAACTGGAGTGGGAAGAAGTAAAAAAGCTGCCAATGACCAAAGAAAAACTGAAAAAAAAAAAAACAATAACGGGAAAATCGGACTGCTTGGAAGAAAAATATGAAGAACTGAGGAGTGGCTCAAGACTTTTGCACATTACTTAAATACATTTAAAAACAACAATAAAAGCCAAATAAATTAACAATAAAATCCTCAAGAATAGAGACCTCAAGTACAAGTAATAGCTTATTGACTTCACATACCAAAGACGCCAACGTACTGCTAAAGAAGTACAAATCTATGTCTTAGAGCATATGTCATTTGTTTTGGGATATGCAAATGTGTTAAATATAAAATTGTAATTATATTCCGGGGTAAGTGAATTTTTCAATAATCACTTTAGCAGTCATGCTTATTTCTGGCTGTTTCTGATTAATCTGGAGCACACTAAGTAGACTGTTTCAGAGGAGGCATGTTGCAAAGGACAGGTGCAAATAGAAAATCAGTTTTAGTGGCTGTTATTAATCTGCCATGCAGTGTCTGATAATCCTGTTGCTTACTATATCTACCCATCTGTGTGTGAGATACTTACAGTTGTGCTGCCCCCTGCTGTCCATGTCCAGGCGAGCAAGCGGGGACAAAAGACAGGGATTCACTGTCGTACACCCCAATCACTTCTTCATCTGTGATAATGTCAAAAACACCATCGTCCAGTTTCTCATCTCCACCTGCTCCTAGAAGATAAACATCATATTCACCATAGATCTTTATTCTTAGCTCTTACTGTAGTGTGTATATCACTACCGTGTCCCCAATATAAATTAAATATGTAAATATTTTATCCTTTGACACATTAATCCAGTGAGTGTGTAGGAGACTACCTGAAACACCGCTTACAGCCAGGCCAGCCTGCAGAAAGCGCCTAAATGGTGTTCCCGGTGTGCTGTGAGTCACTTCTTCCTGCGGGTGGCGCTCAACTACTGCACTGTGCTGGTTGTAACAGTCCTTACAGCAGCGCTCTCTGTTGCCACCCTGCTGGGTGCTCACCGTGTTGCTGCAACAGTAGTAGCAGAAAGGACGACCACACAGCCTAGAATAAGGCAAAAAGATTGAGACAGAGCGTGTTAGTGCAACTCGCTGTGAAATGTTCACTGGAGAGAATTGACCTGTGCGTTGTAGTTCCTTTTATGTGAAGTATAGATTTGCACAAAAAGAAATGAAACTATCAAAGGTAAAAAAAAAAGGGCATTAAAAAACAGAAGACGTGTAACAATGTAACCTGTAAGACTTGATAGTTCCTTAGTTTTCAGCCTTCATCTCTGGGTAGTCAGCAGTTTCTGATCTAAAACCCTAAAGCAGTGCTATGGGACAAAACATGTGACTCATAACAGCCACTTCAGAGGTGGAGTGGATAAACAGGAAAAAAGCTCAATTGAATGACCTATGAGTAAAGCTTGAGCACTACTGATGTAAGGTAAAAGTAAAGGAAGAGCATTTAGGCATGTAAATGTGGTTAAGACGACCTGCTGAAGTTCCAACAGAGCATCAGAACAGGGAAGAAAGCTTTAAGTGGCGTTGAACTTGATCGTGTTGTTGGTGCAAGACAGGCTCGTGTGAGTGTTTAAGAAACTGCTGATCTACTGGAATACTCCCACACACCCATCTGTAGGGTTTACAGACAATGGCTTTAAAAAGAGGAAATCTACAATGAGCAACAGTTCTGAGTAACAGTGCCTTGCCAGAGGTCAGAGCTGAATAGTAACGCTGCTTCAAGCTGATAGGAAAGCAACCACTTGTTACTACCAGTTTATGCAGAAGACCATCTCTGAATTTATAACACACCGAATGTTGAAAAGGACGGATTGCATCACCAGAAGATTGTACCGAGTGTCACTCCTATCAGCTCAGGAAACGTCCCGCAAGTTCTCAAATTAGTGCCATGAAGGTTTGAGGCAACTATGAAGGCAAAAGAGGGTCCAACCGGGTACCCGACAAGATGTACATTTGCTGAATTGAGAGTGATGTATTTGTGAGGGATACCATTCAGTGGTAGAACAGAGTATATCTGAATAATGATCACAAAGTTTCATGAGGCACAAAGAGTTCTGTATCATAGTCACTTTGACTTTGTCTTCACTTCCCTCAGGTCACTGAGGGTCACGGTCATGCATTATCATGTCCTACACATGTGTGCATGTTTTGAATAAGCACAGTCTTTTGCAGAACTAAGTTTGTAGAAGTGCTTTGCAATGCTCAATGTAAACCAAGTGGGGAATGTGTGAGAAAACAGTTATCACACAACCACAGTGTAAACACGCAGTGAATGACCTCAGAGTGTTGAGAAACTGTGAAAGAAATGATTGTGCTTTTACTGGTTGGTGCTTCCAAGCAGTTTCTGTTTTGATGGACCATCACCTGCAGCTGTACTTGCGGAACCACCAGCTGAACTGAGTGTGGCAGCCCAGACAGTAGTTAACGTCCCTCTCCGACTCCTCATCCCGCAGCTTCTGCTCAAACTCCAGAGCGTCTGACTTCTGCCAAAGGGCATCTTTCTCCCTGCAACAAGGACAAGCATATTTTTACACTTTTCAAAATCCGCCCTTCCAGTGTGGATGTCACAGTACCAGAAATTTAGATTATACTGATACCAATAGAATGATTTTTGACAGCCAATTTGATACGGACTGGAGGCAGTTTATTTAAAATGCTAACATTATATTTTATGAGACAGACTGAAATGTGATGGTTGCAGAATAGCCTAACCAAAAGAAAAAGGTAAAAAAGAACTTAAGAATAAAAACAAAAACCCCCAGAAATGATTTTGTATTAAGCTAATCTGTGGAAAAAGAAAAGACGTTTATACCTGATGAGCTCCACAAGCCTTTCTTCCAAATTGATTTTGGTACGGTAAAGATCATCCAGTTCAGCAGCCATTTTCACATCAAAGCTTTGTTTGTCCTGTGTGACTCTCCGTAGGTTTTCAGCCATCTCCTGACAGGCCCGCTGAGCAACTGCTAACGCCTCCTCAGATCTGCATATAGCACAAATACATGCTGACCAAAAAAACATGGAGGATCGAGCATCCATGCAGACCTTATCCCAGCTGTCACTAGGAAAGCAGGGTACACCCTAGAAAGGCTAACAGTCATCACAGAGCTAACACACAGAGACAAGCAATCATGCTCTCATTCACACCTACGGCCAAATTAGACTTGCCAATTAACCTAACATGGGTGTCTTTAGACTGTGTGACAAAAAGGGAGTACCCAGAGAGATTCGACTCCGTGCCACCAACACAGACAACGTGTATTTGGTTGTTTCTGGGCTAGACCGCTTACAACAGACAAGATTAAAAACTTTCATCAGGAGCTTTAATTTGGTCCAGAATGTGTGATTATGAATACAGTATCTCACCTTGATAAATTCCCTTTCAGATGGATTATCTCGTCTTCTTTCTGCTGGATGAGGTTTTCAGACTCGGCCATCTGGATGTTTGTCTCCTCAATCTGTTGGCAGTATCTCTGATTCTCAGCCTGCAATCAGCGCAGCAAAGCACAGCCTTATTTCTTGCTCTTTGTGAATTATGTTTGTGAATATAACATTATCGTTACTTCAATTGACAATATACAGAATGGAACTGCAATTTGTTTTCCCATTTATCAACCCCACACATGAAAATGCAGATCGAGCTGCGCAAGCTACACATGCGTTTTGTCACGCATCATCCTCCAGCGATGACTTTAGTGTGGTCAGTGTTAGACAGCAAAGAAGTTCCATTTCCACATGTAAAACCACTTCACTATGTGAATACTGTCAGCATGTTGACCACAACTAAAAATCTTCTTGCAAAATTAAACCAAAGCGAGTTTCACGTGGCTTTTATGACGATGAATAACAAAGAGCCTTCAAAATAAATGTGGGGAAAAAAGAACTATCTCAGGGAAGTTCTCTAAAATAATTAGAGATGTAAAATACAAAATGCTTCACATAAAGCAGTATTCAGACGATGTTTTCTTTGCATGAATTTCCCACTCAGGACCATAACCTGTTGGTTTTAATGGTCAAAAACCAACAGAAATTATTTTTAAGAGGAGTCTGTTTGTTGGTAGTTTGGCTCTTTAACTTTCTTCTTTAACCCAAGTGGAGGAGTTTAAGCATCTCGGGGTCTTGTTCACGAGTGATGGGAGAAGGGAGCGGGAGATCGACAGACGGATTGGTTCAGTGGCTGGAGCGATGCGGACGCTGTACCGGTCTGTTGTGGTGAAGAGGGAGCTGAGTGTAAAAGTGAAGCTCTCAATTTACCGGTCGATCTACGTCCATACCCTCACCTATGGCCACGAGCTGTGGGTAGTGACCGAAAGAACGAGATCGCAAATACAAGCGGCGGAAATGAGCTTCCTCCGAAGGGTGGCTGGCCTCTCCCTTAGAGATAGGGTAAGAAGTTCGGCCATTCGAGAGGGGCTCAGAGTAGAGCCGCTGCTCCTCCACATCGAAAGGAGCCAGCTGAGGTGGTTCGGGCATTTGACAAGGATGCCTCATGGGCGCGGTTTTCCGGGCATGTCCCACCGGGAGGAGGCCCCGGGGCAGACCCAGGACACGCTGGAGAGATTATATCTCTCGGCTGGCCTGGGAACGCCTTGGCTATGCTGGAGGAGGTGGCTGGGGAGAAGGAGGTCTGGGCTTCTGTGCTTGGGCTACTGCCCCCGTGACCCGGCCCCAGATAAGCAGAAGAAAATGGATGGATGGACTTTCTGTTTACAACACCGTACTGAATTTTTTATCCTCTTACCTCTAGCCCCTTGAGGTTGTTCTCCAGGGCAACTACCTTCTCATGCTCAGTCTGGAGCTGCAATTTAACATCCTCTAACTCTTGAATCGTGCTCTAGATGGACAAAAAATAATCAGAAATTCATCATTAAAGTTGAGTTAAAACATATCTAGTTGCACTCTAGCCGAGTTGGTATAAATCTTTCTATACATTCTAGTTATTTTCAAAATCATGGCCTAAATATTTTAGTAGTAACAAAAAAGATGACTTGTTTATATTGCTCGTGTACAGTGCAGTGAGACTGTGCAACTTTTTCTAAAAGCACGTGTCTGCATCTTAGCAAGAGTTCAGTGGTATGGTTACTTATTCTCAGGACTGCAGATGAAATTATTTGAGAATATGGGAATGCGTTTGTATTTCTCTATAATAACCAGTGATTTTCCCCGATAACCAGGTGCAGGTTCTGTCGCTCACCTCACTATATTAAAAAGTGGAATCATCAAACAGCTCTGTAAATTGCTGTACAATTTGAGGATAATATTATTGCAAAGAAAAGTGTAGGCAGCAGATAAAAACTTCCACGAACTGACATAGAATTTGTGGAATTTCTGGCAGTTTTACAAAAACGCAAAGCGTGAAAATCTCCTTTAGTGCCGGGGAGGCTTTCACATGTAAATGAAAGTGCAGTACAAATGCAAATTGGGACCACTGCTCCAAAAGTAACACCTTTTTTCTCAAATGTCCTGACTCCATTTAAGATCTTGTATGCTATACTTAGATCAGGCTTCATTTATGTATGTACTCATGACTGAAACTTGAATAATCTGCTTTATATTTCCAAACACATGATGCTGAATGACATTATGTGGCAATACTCATATGCAAATGCAGCACGTAGCAGGGGTTTCAATGTCATTTTTGTTGAGTGCTCAACTTTAGCGTCATTTCAGCTCATTGTGTAAGATCTGAATTTTTGTAACCGACCAGACTCGAGATAAAAGTGCACAAGAGGGTCAGTCTGTACTAATATTTCAGTTATATATCAAAGCAGGAGCAAAGAGATGGTCAGAAAAAGGAAAAAATAAATAAATACCTGCTTTATTTCCTTCTTTAACTTAAGTAACTCTATACCAGCACTGATGGGTTGCGACATATTCATTAAGAAGAACACATGAACAATGCCAACCAACCATAATCACAGCTTACAAGGACAAGACTGATGCACAATCCTAAATTTGCATTAAAAGAATGAGCTCAAAAGTTAACATTAAAAAGAAACCTGTAATTTCGCTAACAGATTTCTTTCAAAAAATTAAGCTGCGTAAAACTGTTTTTCAGTTTATAAGAAACAGTTTTGTTTACAAGGAAGTATGTCATAAATGGGAAGACAACAGTAACTTTGTACATGTATACTTTACTCTGCCTGACCTGGAGCTGGCTTTCATGGCTCACAGCTTCACTGCTGAGCTGCAACTGCAGTTGTTGATTCTCTTCCTGGTTCATCTCCCGCACAGCTTCGACTTCCTGTTGGGCCTCCCTCAACTGTTTCTCCAGTTTCTCCTTGGATGCCATCAAATTCTCAGTGTTTGAGAGCTGACTGTGGAGCTCCTGGTTCTCCTTGCGCAGCTGCTCCATGCAGGCATTCAGCCTTCCTGCTTCCTGAGCCGCCTCCTCCTCCAGCTCCTGCAGCTTTGTTGACTGACCCTCCCAGCGCAGCCGAGCCTCCTCGTTCTCAGCGGTCAGCATGCACACGTGCACGCCTAGTTCTGCGGTCTCTGTGTTGGCTCTGTGAAGGGCCTCCCTTGATTCACTGTTCTCCAGACACAAAGCATTGTAACGCATCTTAAGCTTATCAAGCTCCTCTCTAGAGGCCGTCACCTCTGCAGCAAGACCGGCTCGAGCCTGTGCCTCGCCATCTCGCTCACGAATAAGAGCCTCCTCACGCTCGCGAGATCTAAGAATTTCATTCACATGCCGGCGGTTTAGTTCCTCCACTTGGGCCTTCAGTTGTTCTACTAAAACACGAAGGTCTTCTCTGGAGGCTTCTGTCACCTCCTGCAGGGCCTGAGCTTTCATCCTCTCCTCATTTCCTGCCAGGAGTTGTGCCCTAAGCTCCACCACCTCTTCCTGGAGCCTGGTTACCTCTCTCACGTTGACTTCCAGTTGTGCCTCAGCTATAACCAGCCTGAATGGGGCCTCTTTGGATTCCACTGAGGAAGTCTGGTGCTCACTGTGAAGCTTTTGCATTTTTTCGTTGCTTTCTGCGGCTCCTTTTTCATCATGCAGCTCCCCACTCCTGCTTTCTAGCTCATCAGTTCGACCTTGGAGAAGCTCACATTTTACAGTCTGGTCTCTTAGCTTAGCTTCGGTTTCCTGGAGCTTTTCAAGTAACTCTGCTTGGCTTTTCTGCGACGCTATAATGTTCTTCTCTAACTTTTCAGCTTTGGTAGTGAATGAATCCAGTTCCTGTTGAGTTGTGGCTAACTGTTTCTTCAGTGTGGACTGACTGCCGAGAAGCTCAGTATTCTCATGCTCCAGCTTCTTTAACTGAGCATCAGATTGCTCCCTTTGCATAAACGCCTTGTGAACCATCTCCTCCAATTTCAGGTTTTCATCTAAAAGCTTTTTCTCTCTGTCTTCCACACTCATCTTTGCAGCTTCTACTCTGCTTCTGAAGTGCTTCTCAGACGCCTTCAAAGAAGCCAGCTGGTCTAACAGGGCAGCCCTGCTCTCAGTTAGCTCGGAAATGCTTACCTCACTTTTCCTAACCGTTTGGAGAAGCTTAGCATTTATTTCCATTAGACTGCTGAACTGTGTTTTGTCATCTGCAGTATTCTCTGATTGACTGCAAGATGTTATTTCATCATCAATAATTCGAGGGGCCACTGTTTCTTTCCCCACGTTTAGCTTATCTAATTGCTCCTCCAAATGTTTGATTCTTTCTGAACTCGCAGCTAGCTCTTTCTCTCTGCTTTTAAGCGTTTTTCTTAAATCCAAGCTCAGACTCTCAAGTTCCTCATTCTGGCTGCTACTGAGACTACACTGCTTCTCTACCTCCTCCCTCTCTTCCTGGAGCATTTTTCTCAGTTCCTCCGCCTGCCTTTCCCTGCATTCCAGTGAGGCCTGCAGGTCCTGAAGCTGTGCTCTCAAATTCCCTGTCTCTTTCTCTTTCAAAGTCAATGCCCCCTGAATTCGACCAACCGCACTCTGGAGCTCCTCTAACCGCGTGAGCGCTGCCTCCCGTTCGTCATCAGCTCCAGCTTTTACTTCAGCTAGCCTCTCCTTAGCATTCTTCAATTCTTCTTCCCTGAGTTTTAGTTGCTGCGACAGACATTCACAGTGCCTCGCCCTGTCCTCAGCCTCTCTGTTAGCCTCCAGCCTCCCCTCCTCTGCAGACTTGAGTTTATCCAGGAGTTCCTGGATTTTCCAGGCTGATTCACAGTAACTAGCAGTTTGTTGGCCCCTTTCTTTAAGAGCCTCATCTAACTTAGAAAGAAGCTCCATATTTTTGTTCTCAGCAGTTGTGAGTCTATCTTGAAGTTCACTTCTTATCGGTTCCCTGCAGGTTTGATAGTGATTAACTCTTTCTTCACTGTATGTTTCTGGGTTACTTTGGACTGCTGTAGATGTCGAATTGGCAGACTTCTGAGCTGACAACTGTTCTTGAAGGTGTTTTACAATATCTTTCAGCTCCGCAGCCTCCTTGCCTAACTCCTGAACCCGCACCAAAAGCTCCTGCTGTCTGAGCTCGGACTGGTCAAGCTCAATGCGCAGATTCTCTGCAATGCTGCAGGAAGAAGGTTCCCCCAGTTCTCCCAGTTCATCAAGACCACTGTGGCTCAAGTCTGGGACTGGAAGGAACTCCTGACCCTGTTCAGTGCATGGAAAAAGAGAGAGCAAAGGTCAGGTGCATCAAACATTAGTCACATTTAACCAGAAAATTGTGGGAAATACTGATATAACAGTTTTTGTGTACCTGTGAGTGTGAATAACTGCTAACCAGACTGTTCACACTAGAGCAGCGACTCGGGGGTTTCCAAAGGTAAGCTGAGGAGCCAGATCCTAATGTTCGCCTTTGTTAATGAGACACCAAATATTAGGGTCACATAATGACAAACAGTGAAAATGCTTTATTTTAAAGTTCTGCTAATTTTCTGTAATATATACCAGAAAGAACTGTATTATTTAGAAATGGTTAACAGGAAGTAAAAACCACACCTATATACAATACACATACCAAGAACATGCCAAGATTTTAAAGAACCCAAGAAAATATGCAATATTTACAGAGTATAACTGAGTTCATTTTAAAAAAACTCTTAGTTCTTCATTTTAAAAGGAACTATCTTGCCTAATTTTACTGTGGGAGCCCACACTCAGTGGCATTTTATTCTCTAGAAAAGATTAACATAAAAAACTAAAAAAATCCCATAGACTGCCATAAAGTCCACTTTTAGATGAGATTAGTTCATTCGATGAACTGAGAAAAGTTAATTTAATTTTAGCAGTATGTTAAATGGACGAACAGATTTGAAATGTAGTCCAGCTTTTATGCTTTTCTTGTTAGTGGGGAAAATATGAGTCAATTTACACAAATACAAGCAAGGAAGTCACTCAGACGTTACACATTTCTTCTCTGGAATTAGAAAGTGATGATTTCATGCTACTCATTGGAAATAGAATTGACAACCGCAGCAAATTCTTTTTAAGAATTTCTTAAAAAGAGTGCAGGACTCTACTGTCTTCTTTTCTAATAGTGTGTAAAAATAGTAATAACAATACATTTTATTTATAGGCACCTTTAAAAACCCTCAAGGTCACCTTACATTATTTCAGCAAAATAAAAACATAAAGTAAACAAATAAAATCACAACTATAAAACTAATTGAGGTAACAATAGACTAAGACCAAGTTATAATGAAGGGTTTGCAGTTCTGAACAGATTGAGTCGTGATTTAAATGTAGAGGGCATTTATAGTCCGGAGATCTGGTGAAAGTGCACTCTATATGTATGTAAGATCACACAAATACGGAGGAGCAAGGTTATGAAAGTATTGCTTGAATTTATCACAACGAAGTTGAAAGTTTTGACAAAGCTGCTGATAGAAGAAGCAATGATCCAAGTTCACACACTGTCAGCAACCACACACACAGACAGACAGACAAATACACACACCCACACACCCCCATGCACACACGAGCAATACAGCAAAAAGACAGAACTGTGAATGTGCAGGGAGATAAGATAATTAGGCGTTCAAGTTGTGAAAAACCCAGTACGCTTTCACCACAATTCAACATTTGCAAAAAAATAATGTGTTCAGTCTAGATATTTAGTCTCTTACACCTTACATGTTTTCCAGGTTGAAGAATTATGTGTTATAAAGTTTTTTAGTCTTCTATTGTTCATACATACATACCTTGCAAATTTTGGCCAATCTGCATCAAGGTCATAACCTCTGGCTGCCACATCAAATTGGATCTGGTTGAGTTCATAAAGATTGTTGATTATGTCTCCAGTGAGGTGAGACTTGAGGAAAGGACTCCGGGCATAATACCAGTCACTTTATCGGAAGAATACAAAAAAAAAGTTGAAAAAACAACTCACAAAATGAAAGTCAGAGAATTTCAACTAGTAAAAACAGAAACATTCAGAAAAAATACATTTAAAGGTATGATATACATCACAGACATTGGCATACAAAGCTAATATTCCAATTAAAGCTTTCCCTTTATGCTCACAACTTGTCAATAGAAACAATGGCTGTAAAAAACATAGCTTTAAATAGCACTATAAAGCATTATTGTCACCTCGTTGTTGTTAACCTTGTTAAACATGACAAGATATTTTATCTTTATACTGTACCTTTTACATAATGACAATACACATCACACTTTTAATAATAATTGTTTGCAAGTTATAAGACTTCTTGTTAATTTTCAACCAGTAACCCATTAAGTTACCAATGAACACCTTGGTGAAAGTAACGCAAATTTTAAATTTCTTGTTAACATGACTCTACTCTACACAAAGTTGCATTAAAATCCATTCAACGCTTATACATTCAAATTCAACAATGTATTAGTTAAATAAACAGCAGCCTCAGTGGAGGCATGTGGAGGAACCATACAACAATAGCCTGGCACCTCCCCATTATGCTGGTCAAGAACTTGGTCACACACTGCTGTGGGATGGTTCTTTGACCAGAAGTTGTTACAAGTTCACCAGTGTGGTTGTGTCGGTCAATCTGTCACAAACAGCATGCTCAAGCTTAAAACAAGTCTCAGTAGTTGCTGCTCAACCCCCAAATATAGTTTCCTCCCAAATTTGGCACCGTGGAAAGGGAAACCAAAAAAATAAAATAAAATAAAATGTATTTATTTATAGCAACCAAATATCAATATCCTTGCTATTCCTTTTCCTTGCTCTATCAACACTAATAAACACTCCCTCATATACTGAAAAACAGAAGACATTTTGCGCTATCTAGAGAACAGAGAAATAAAGGTTTCAAAGATTTAAAAAATAATTCAGACATAAAATGAAGACATAAAGTAATGAGGCTACCCTTTCTGAGAACGCTTTAAATAAAACAACTGTCAGCATGTTTGCAGTGTAAATCTGATGGCACAGTCAGCATCCAGTTGGTTTGTCTTACATAAGCTGAGCCTATAGACTGAAAACAGGGAAAGTTTTTACTGAAGTATTCAGAGTCTTGAAATTTAAAAAAAAGAAAAGAAAAACTATTTCTAGGCACTATTTCTAAGCGCACTCAGTCCAGCACCAAAGGTCGTATAAAATGGTATTTTGTTTTTTTCATAGTTCATATTGGGAAAAATGCTTTTGCACCCCAGAGGTGAAGAATTATTTGCTCAAACATAGAAGCTGCCACCCACCACCAAAACACCAAACCTGTTTCAAGTCCATTCCTGAGGTTCCTCATTCCAGTGTGTTTGCTAACTACACTGAATCTCTACTGAATGTAAAATACTTACAAAACCCACTGTGTTTAAATATAAGTTAAATATTTTCTCTTTCATACTGCCAAACACGGCCCATTAGACTGCATCTAATTTGTACAGCGCTTCCTTTATTTGCAAAAGGCACAGATACTGCATCTCTGGTTTTTAAGATGAGCTTTTTTTTTTTAAACTCATTTCTTTATTTGTTAATTACTTATTACTTAAACCTGCATTTTGTTATTTGCATTTTTATTTTCTTTACATTTTGAATATTGTTTATGTGGAGAGAAACTGGCAAACTTAGCATGTCATTGGTGTAAACTGCTGTGTTTAGTTTTACTGTGCGTGGAGAATAAACTACTTCTTTTTTTCCTTAACGCAAAAATAAAACTGACATTTTGATTTGAGAAAAGACAGGAACTGAGCAGTGCTACAAAGGTCTATGGTCAAGTTTTTTTTTGGTTGCTGTGATTTCAGTCGAAAAGGAGAAATAGGACATAAAAAAGGAAGGGAGAATCACACTTCCTAAGAACATCCAAAACAAAGCAGTACAGTATGCCTGGAGTAAAACACACATCTTGGTAACAGTTTTCAAACTGTCATAGTCAGGAACTGTAAAATGTATCAATTTATCTTCAATAACAAGTACTCTTTGATGAATTAGGACATTTAGAGATAAACCACTGTTCATGTTGCATGTAGCCATGAAGGAAATGCATGCAGTCAACAGAATTACACATTCTAATTAGCTTTGATTAATCGGTTAGTCCAGGGAAATACTTTAAGCTTCCATTATTAAATTACGTTTTCCTAATTTTGTTTTGTCAGTTTTTTGTAAATAATTTCTTCTTTTCAGATAAGTGGAGATTAAACCTTTACTGCAGTCATTTGCGCAATGTCAGCTTTATCACTGCCCAGTATCCAGAATTTTGTCATTTCACAACTTGCAGCATAGAATACATTAAAGCTGACCTTTTAGATTTCAATATCATCAGCTACCATGAAAACAATGGTATTTATGAATTTAAGCCTAAGTGTGCATCGAAACGGGTTTAATATTCTCACTAAACTGAATTGTTGTAACATACAGTATCCATAGAGCTCAATGTTTAAGTCAGGCATTCAATCTGATATCATGTTTTTTTCTTCTTAAAGCAGACATGAAACATACCATCGGGTCCTGCTTGCATAAACTGATACAGACTTAAAACTAGATTTTAAAAATAAGTGTTTAAAGTTACAGATTTTGGGGCATGTTTAGCACTATCTTGTCCAAGTACAGAAAATGACATCACTAGGAAGTGATCACAGAAGCAACTGCTCGATGTAACTAAAGCACATATAGTATCCACTTTAAAATGTAAAATAGTGTTACAGATAGTGTTTCCAGTTTCTATCATTTACAGAATTCTTTTGCCCATAACACTAAGACTAAAAATAATCATCTAATTATTTTTAGTCTTAAATGTTACGATATTTCGATGCGTTAAGTGAACATTAGATTAATCTGAGCTGATGTGTCCTCTCACCTTGTGACCTTCAGATTCATAAAACATTGCTGCAGTGTGTCAGCAAGACGCTGGTGAACGAGCGAGTAGCGGATGAAAGCCCTTCCTTTCCCCAGTGATGTCTTCAACTGAGGACACACAAAAATAGACTCTTTTGTCATAAACATGCACAACACTGGCAAACTCAATCCAAGGTGGACTAACCTCCACTGTTTTTCTTATCTAACTTGTTAAATAGGTCAGACGTCAGTTTCTATTTCCTAAAATATTATTGTATAAAGCATTAAAAGGAAACTGTTAAGACTTTTAAAAATAAGACTACAGCTCTTTTGCCATTTTTGAGGTTAGTAAATGTAAAATCTGTTCATCGCAGACTTTAAGGATCAAAGTTTTAGTTGTCTTCAGCAACAGTCTTGGCCATTTCAATTTAACATGGAAATGTTTAATTCTACTGCATAAATCGCAGTTCAGCTTAAAGATATCTAAATTTAAAGATGATCACCATATAGAGAATAGATGTACAATGTTATTTCTAAGCCTAGACTCTCCAATGCATTGGCAGATGGAGGGATTTAAGTAAGATAAGAGACACAGATACACCAGACAGACACCAGCTGGAGACGTCTTTATGTCTGTGACCAATGGACAGCAAATAAAAACAGTAAAAGAAGAGAAAAAAATAATAATGTTTTAGGTTTTCAGAGTGCCAAAGGTTTTTAATTGTTAATTATCAGTCAGATGTTATTGACTAGACTGTGTGACTTCTGAAAATAAACACGCTGACCCATTTAAACACCACCCCTCCCTCCTCAAAAAAACTTTAAACCACAGATCTGTCTTCCTTATGTTATCAAATCAAGGATTACTTAACAGCAAAAAAATATTAACAGGCTTGTGATAAACAATTACAAAAATAGTTTAAAAAAAATAGATGATAAGTCAAAAATGATCTGGAACATAATTCAGTACCCTAAAATTATCATCTATAAAAGTGGGTACCCAACGTCTATTGGAATGCAGGAAAATAACCATGAAATATGCAGATAATGAACGTAGTCATAGCTGTTGCCTTTACAAATAGAACAACATAACTTGTAAATGCTAATAACCAATACACAAAGAACACTTTGATCACTTAACCACCAAATATTACTAACAGTTCAACAGGAAACCAATTCATTACAATACAAACTAGGACCAAATCATGAATAGTTATTGAAGTATGAGGCTCACCAGTGTGAATTTCCAGGACAAAAAGTGAGGAGGAAACAGTACAGGTGGCACAAGTGTAAGATAGTATGTGAATTAGCAGCGTTGAGCCTTAGTGCACCTGATTGGTCGGAATATTAGTTACATGGTTATACGGTCACTGTCTGTATACATGTGCGCATGTGTTTCACGCCATGGAAGGGCTGAGGCGCGAAGGGTGACTAAGTGTACGCGTGTGCTGCAGAGGAGGATTACCTCAGGGATGGACTTAACGAAACGGATGCCATCGTTAGCTCCCTTGATCTTAATCAGGCAGTCGCAGAAGTAATCCCAGTAGTCTTTTCTCTGGCCAAGAAAGGTTGTCTTCTCTTTTTGGTCAAACTAAGAGACACAAAGGACACAAAATTATTGCATTCATAAACAACATGCTCAGTAATGTGGACTGTACTACATCACCGTGGTGACTGAGTTGCTAGTGTTTAGTAGTTGTTAATGTAATTCAAGAAGATTAAGGGAAAGAAAAAGACATAGTTGAGCTACACAAATGTGTATTTTCTTCAACTTGGACTTTACAAGAACAGCTCAAGCACATTAAAGAAATTACTCACTGGTATCAGGACTCATAACCTTTAAATACAGGAAGGCTTGTGAGATGAGTCTTGTGAAATGTTTCATTTTAAGAGTTCACAACTTAAGAACACTAGTCTACAGCACTCCCAATAGTACTGACAAGTCATGTTTGACCAGGCTTCTGTTACATGCAGGTAAATAGTTCTGTGTTTTGTTTTGTTTTTGCAAGCAGAAATGGATCTCTTTGCTCAGAAATCCACTGGCTACACCGGGATCCCCTTAAAATTAGCCACTTCCACCAGAAGCTAATGGTGTATTCACACTAGGCAATCTATACAATCCTGGAGAGTATTTACTGAGAGTGATTGCTGCGTGCCATACTCTGGTGTGATTAACCTCACTGTGCCTTGATCTGGGTGAAAAAGAGCGGGGCCCAAGGTTTAGGTCAACTGGATCGGGTAAAGCATGCACGTAGTTTGATGGCTAGACATGCCTCAGGAACTGTCTTTCTAGTAAAGGCTCCAACAGAAATAGTTTTGCTAAGCAATTAACAAATATGTTCAAGACAATGTGTGACCACTTCCCCAGTTATGCAGAAAAACGCATAAAATTGTGAAACCACAAAAGAATGAATGAATGAAATAAAGGGAAAAGCAAGCATTAGATGGAAGTGCTGAGATGCTATGATTAACTGATGCGTTCTCTGGCTCAGATCCATTAAGGGCTATGTGAGCACATACGATAAAGGAAGAGTGTGTGGGGGGAGTGGTAGGTACTTATGGTTTAATTTACCCAATGCTACTCTCTTTGATATGGCGACATACCTGCAGCAGGTATTCTAGTTTGTAGAAGAACTTGTGCAGGTTGGCGAAGTCGTCCGTTATGGGTTCACAACACTCCCTGTGTTCCTTACTTAACTCTATCACTGCATCTACAGTTTAAAAAAGAAGAACAAGAGCATTATTAACCCAAACACAAATATGTGATTTTGTGTAGATAGATTTTTTTTTTGTCCCAGAATATTTTTGTGACATTTAAACCAAGCAGCCACGTCACTCAAGCCATAGACAGGTGGAGTGAATACCTTTGGTCGTGTCACTATAATACCGTGTTTGGCCGGGAAATCTTGGGTCATGTGGACACTACCAAGACACACCTTAAACATAATTGCAAAAGAAGACTATTCCCCAAGGTAGTGACCTCCCACAGCAAAATTATGAGACACGCCAAAAAAAACTGATCCTAGTATGTTGATTTAGCCTCTAAACTTAATGGGATGTACAGAAACATGACCTATTTACAGTATGGAGGCCCAAGTAGGGTTTGGATACTGAAAAGCTTTTAAAGGACTTTACTGTAATTGATTATTTTTTATGTTTTCTGTGAGGAAAAAAAGGAATCTTGCAGAGTTATTTTTAATGTGACTGCTTTGTTTCTTTTTTTTAATCTGAACACACAGTGTTGATATACAGTATGAAAAAAGGTTCTGTACATATCAGGTGTGCAAAAACTCAAACTCTTCAGCTATGAATAAAGTACATGAAAAGCTCGGTGACACCGAATTTAGACCAACTGCACAAAATTGGACCCTTAACTGATTCCCTATTCTTGCACCCCAGGACATTCCCAAACGAGCTGCCAAAACAGCTCAGACAGGGCATAGCTTTTTTGGTGGCAGGTGGAGACTTGACACAGTATTTGTCTGGTGATGCTGGTAAATGCTGTAACTGGTTAGTGTATAGTTCATCTGGTAAAACAAACAAACAAACAAACATTTACATATAAAAAAAATCTTTGGCTGATGTAAATATTGCAGAATCCTTTGGACAAGACACCTGATGCATATTGCATGATATTGTATCTACTGTAATGCACATATGGGGTTTGCTGTATGTGTGGAGAGCTTGATTACCATGCAGATCTCTGATTATCCTCTGCAACTGTTTATCCCCAACTGAGGTGGAGGCCATTGTAGGGATGTACTCAGGCAATTCTTCACAGAGGGATAAAAAAGGGAAATTCAAGTTATCTAGCACGTCATCACGAGTTCTCCAGAACACACACACACCGAAAACACTCGGAGGTAAACAGTGCAGTCCTAAATTAGTTCCTCCTGCTGTAAAGTAGGAGGTTCATGAAGGCTCTGGTGGCTGTAAAACGAGGTAACAGTAAAGTTAACAAAATTTAACTGCATGTAGAAAAGGAACAACGACAGGTCATAATTTGTCGCTCCATCGTCTTTGTCAGAGCGCACTGGGACAAGATTTGTCTAGATTTATCCACCGTGGCCATGACGAGCCAATAAAGTTGACTCCTATCACTTTAAAATGCAACAAACCGCGACATAAACATCGATTTGTCAAAACCTTAGCGAGCGCTACAGGATGGACATGCACCTGCTCTCAGCGACTCGTTTCCTGGTTTATTTCATCTACATTTCTGTCGCTAATCATCCTTCTTTGGTTGTAAATAAGGATAAAGACTTCGTTGTTGAATAAATCACAATACAAAACACGTACTTGATGTATAAAATTGTCCGGACTGTCCAGTTTATCAGTGGTATAGCAGAAACTTGCTGCCGTTGAGGGGCGGGCTCTGGAAATGATTGACGGCTGACTAACCACGGTGTATGGCCGAGGTCTGTTCACGTTTGGTTGAGACACACCATAAACAGAAAGCTGAAAACATGATATGTTTATATGACACGGAATACAAATGATAGATAAAATAAATGCAAGGTAAAATAGAAAGCTGAATACAGTCTAATACTGGATATACACGATACAATATATAAAATAAATACAACGTAAAACCGTTTAAGAGTTCAAATTCATAATAGAAAGTAAAAAATTTGTGCAGGGTATTTAAAACCAGTTGTTAGAATTCAAAAACTTAAGAACTTGTTGGCTGCTTAAATAAAGGGACCATTTCACGTAAAAATAAATAAATAAATAAAATAAATAAATAAAAACAAGCTAAATAAAAGAATTACAAAACAACTGACTGACATTAAATATCTGGGGTACACAAAGAGGTCTGAATCTGAATTTATTTAGAAAAAAAGCTCTTGTTGTTAGTTTAGCAGTCTCATAAGGATAAAAATACCAAAGTGACCACAGACATATGCCCTCAAACAAGCACGCACAAAATCAGTGTGCATTTATTCACATTATTGACTTTTCTGTTCTAGTTATTGCTCAGACTTTTCTTAACACTCAGCATCTGGGTAAGTAGGTTAAATAACAGCCATGAAGTGACATCAAATGTAATTTGTGTTTACTAAGGGTTACATATTAATAAATTAGACACATACTTCTTTCCATCCATCCATCCATTATCTTCCGATTATCTGATTATCATGGTCGCGAGGAGGCTGGAGCCCGTCCCAGCTACAGTAGGAGGACAGGGAGGCTACACCCTGGACAGGTCGCCAGTCTCACGCAGGGCTAACAGACAGACAGACAAACATTCACATTCTCATTCTCACTATTCTTACTTGGGCAATTTAGAATCATCCGGCTAAGGCAACAGCACTTCCTGAATGTCTATTTATTGTAAAAGGACTACCTTTGATGCATTGGAAAACTGATTTGATATCTCTTCCCTATCGGCTCTTTTCATTGTCTTTGGTTTATCTGCAGTAATGAAAGTTTCTCAATAAACAGTTACAGGTAGAACACACATTTACAAATGAAACCTGTACACACCACTAAGTGTTTTCAGTTACAGGGAACATGTCTTCATCACATGTGAAACACAAGTCCCACAATCACTGCTTATTGGATGAACTGAAAAAAATGCGTAGTTTCTGTTCACCTTGTGATATTCAAAACCACTCTCACCAACCTTTCGCTAACAACCTTGCTGAGGACCCTGGTGTGCAGACCCCCTTTGTGCAGGTACAGTATAGTTTTGATTTTCTTTCATTTCAGTCAAAGTCTAAGGTTCACCTTTGCTGAACGTGACGTCAAAGTTTAGAGTGTGTACAGGTTCAATCAATGTTTACAGAGTGGGAACATTTTTCAGGCGTGACTGCTATTGCAGATTTGTGCACACATTTTGATTAATTTGTGCATTTGATTTAGTGAAAACCTGGACACTGATTAAGAAAACTATGGAGAAAATTGAAAACAATGACACACAACAGCACTTTGTGTACTGCACACAATGAATGTATGTAGCCTTTTTGTGGCTTTCCCCCCTTTTATGACCATTAATGCTATCTTAAATTCACTGAACAAACTGAGTTGCATTGACATAAATAAATCTAGAACTCTACGTTTTAATTAGAATGTTTTCAAAAAAAATCCTACTTATTACTTAGAATGGATTTTTGCAAAAAAATTCTCAAGCAAATTATACTAGCAACACAAAACAATTTCCTTTTTCTCAAATTACAAAACTTCTTGGAGTAGCTTATCTTTATTCTGTGTGGTAAGGTAATATTTACTTCGATTTACTAACTTTACACCCCAATTCTGATATGATTTATTTCATTTTCTACATGATACTTCTTGTGTTAACATAAGCCTTGTATCACAAGGCTTTCATAAAACATGAAATTACAGATGCTTTAAAGAACAGGCCATCTAATAACCATACCAATCCTGATTACTTGCAATATTCCAACATTTACATATTGATCAACATTAAAGATGCATTGATTTTCTTAGTCAATTCCAATTTCCAATTTTTTGTAAGTGTCTCTCAGTACCAATTTTTCATGTTCCAGTTTTATTTCTAAAACCTGTACTTGATGGCATAAACAAACAAAATTCAACTTTGTGTCTTCACTCACAGTGAGGAGCTTCCATGGTAACGACACATTAGTATGCACCTGTGAGTATCTGTGCACAATTGAATGACACTTGGAATGAAGTTCACAGTCAGACATATGGGAGGCTGACTTACTGCTCAGGACAGAGAACTCTGACAATCAGATGGCTCCTCTTCCTGACTGGTCGATTAGTGCATCTCTAATTACCAATTAGTCAATCAAACTTTAAACAAAAATCACCTTTTGTGTGTATGCCTAATAATCTGATAAGAAAACTGAAAAATATACTTAGTAAAAATAAGAAATAGCAAAACAGCTAAAAATATGAGCTAAAATATAGAAAATAAACTTAAATAATATAATCTACACATACTATATTATTTTCTTTTGCTTTCTAATCGCTCTCCATAGTGCATAATCAGTTAAAAGTCAGGGTGAAAAGGTAAAGTAAGTTTTGGTTTATGTTTAAAGCTTTGAGCCCTTCATCTTCTCTAAGGTTCTCTACCAGACTGTTTGGTCAGGCAATTCACAATGTGCTGTACCTTCTCAACCTGCAATGTTTCTCCAAGCCAGTTTGTACCCACTGCAATAACTAAATATACACAAAAGTGGCTCAGTCACAAACAGTCCTTGATTAGTTTTTATTTGCTAGCTTCTAGGTTTGCTGCATTTCTTCTTTGATGTTTTCGTTGATAAAATCCTGTCAAAAAACACAAATCAGTGCATAGAATATACTACATAAATACATTTTTAAGTCCATAAATATAAATAACTTTTAAAATGTATTCTTGGTTAAATATTATAATAGAGAGTAAGTGAGAAAAGTGAGATATGCATCCAAATACAGAGTCAATGACCATTAGCTAATATTTGTTAGATAGCCTTGTCTAACAAAGGTTTATAATATTATAAGTCCTTAAGTAAGACTGTGAAATTTGACCTACTTTATTTACCTGTCTAACAGTCTTTTTTAAATTTCTCTTTATGCTGGAAGAAAGTGGATACAATGGATAACGTAGATACTATCAGCACCAGCCTTGACTCAACCTCGTACCCCTATGATTATGACTACGATGAACTCTGCAACAAAACAGGTGTCATCCAATTTGGAGCAATCTTCACTCCAGTCTTTTTCTCCATTGTGGTGATTCTCAGCATCTTTGGCAACATCCTGGTCCTCGTGGTGCTGGTCAAGTTTGAGAATTTGAAATCCCTCACCAACACCTTCATCCTGAATCTGGCTGTATCAGATCTCTTCTTCACAGCTTCTCTGCCCTTCTGGGCCTACTACAACATGCATGGATGGACCTTAGGGGAGCATGCATGCAAAATAGTGAACTTTATCTTCTGTCTTGGATTCTACAGCAGCGGTATCCTCCTCATCCTGATGACTGCTCACCGCTATATAGCTGTTATAAATCCTCTGTCTGACATTGTTTCCACCACGGGGTATTACAGTATTGTAGCATCTGCGATCATTTGGGTCGTTAGCATCCTGGTTTCCAGTCTAGCTTTTGCTTCCACCAAAGTTGCAGAGTCAAAGTACTGTGTATATGCAGATTCTTATTGGAGCTTGTGGGGAATCTACCAGCAAAACATCCTCTTTCTAATTACCTCAGTGGTATTCATGTTTTGCTACACTCATATCATGTGCAGGTTGCTTCATCCTGTGCAAAGAAGACGAAACAAAACTTTGAAACTAATTTTTATTCTCATGGTTGTTTTCCTTGTTGGATGGGTACCTTACAATTTAGTGATATTTCTGCAGTCCTTTTCCTACTGGCCCAGAGAAAGTGACTCATTAGGGGAAGATTGTCAATATAGCAAAAATCTGGATTATGCGCTTGAGATTACTCGACTTTTTGCCTTTTCACAATGCTGCCTTAACCCCGTGTTTTATGTGTTTGTGGGGGTTAAATTCAAAACCCATTTGAAGAAAATGCTAAAGAGCTTGGGCCGCAAAAAAAACAATAACAGCTTTCGCAACAGACAAAACTGGCACACAATAATATCGATAACAAGTGGTGAAGAGTTGTCACAGGTACCTTGATATTGTAAAAAAACAGAACTAATACATCTTGTTCATTAACATAGTTGATTCTCAAAATGTCTCAAACGGATTTCATTGTTCTTTTGAATCTGGGTTCACTTGGGAATGAACTGCCAATATGTTTTTCCAAAATGATTTCCCCCAATGTTGGTGCTTTTTACAACCATTTTCTGACTCTTCTTTAAAATTACTGATCAGTAACCTATATCAATGCAGCATAACGGCTTATTTTCATCAGATTATTGCTTGCCTTTTATTATTCAGTCAAATATGTTTATATTAACATTCACTAAATAACATTAAATAAAAAATAAAATGCCAAAAATAGACTGAGCAACATAACCTGCTACTTCTTTGTGAAACTGCATTTGGTTTCCTAATGTCTTTAGCCATCAGTGATCAAAGTATGCACACATATTCAAGAGGTTTATTGTCATCATAAACATCATAATGGAGTGTGGTCTATATGATTTCAAACCAGAAGAGCTGGTTTGACTGTCTCAGAAACTTTTTGAGATATCTGGGATTAAGACTTATGTTTCTGGAGTTTACAGATAATGGTATAAAAAAAAAAGCACAAATTGAAATGACTGGCAGTTACTAATAACAGAAACTGACTTTTTAATGCAAAGTCTGAGTAAAATATTATAGAGCTGTTCATCCTGCCAAACCTATGATCGTAACTCAAACAGCCTCATTCAGATGATTGGATCATAAAGACTTCAAGTTGTTCTGGGGTCAGAGTGCAGTTGTGTAATTTACTGGAAAGGTGCAACTGAAACAAGAAGAATAGAAAAGTGGGAAACTTCTGTTTAACATCGATGGTGTGTGATATGTTGTAATATTTTGTAATATGTTGTAATATGTTATGTTTAATCAAGTTTGCTTCATGTACTTATCTGTGGTTATAGTTTCTGACCAAACTCTTCTATGATCAAAGAACCTTTTATTGCTGTAGCAATTTCATTTGTGTTTAGATCTGCTGATTATGCTGTACATGGTATTACATATATATATATATATATATATGTCACTTTGATTATCCATGATAAATAATTAAAAAATAATTTTTTTTTCCAGTTTTCAGCAGAACATAACTTCTTCCCAACAGAGTATTGGGTATTGTGCTTATTTTCATATTCTAATACCATCAGCATTATTCTTTTGCTGTACAAAATAATAAACAAAATAATACATGCAGTTATTTTTGTGTTCATTTTGGCTAGTGCTGCATGCTTGTAGTCCGTTACATTTTTAATAAAACTATGGGAAACTATTAAAATGTACTTTTAATTTTGTTTAAGTTGGATTTTCAATGCAGAAAAACAAGTTGCCCATGGTTTTTGGGCATGTTTTTTTTTTTTTTTTTTTTGTTAAGACGGCCTCTCTGACTTAATGTGAAACAAAAAGAGGAACTGTTACTTTAGTCAAGACTATCAGAGCTATCTGACCAGAGCGCAATTCAACACCAGAGTTGACAGCTGATTGTTGAGGTAAGTTGCTGTATTATTTCTCCTAAGTTGGACTTCAACTGGCTGCTCCCACTTGCTAACATAATGTACAAAGATTAAAACTAAAATAAAGAATTTCTGTTATTTAATAGAGAACTGCTCAGTTAACGTCTTTAATTACATTTTAAAAATCTAGTTTTTTGTTTTTTGCTTTTTAGAAAACAGACAAAGGAAAACAACTTCACAATGAGTGACTATAGACTGAGTGATCATGTTGAATTTCTTTGTGAGACTGACTTTCCAAACATCACCGGCCCCCTTTTCATCCTGATCTTCATCCTCAGTGTCATAGGCAACAGCCTCCTCTTATGTGTTCTTTTCATCTACGAGAAACTGAACACAATGACAAATATTTTCATCCTGAACCTGGTCTGCTCTGATTTGATCTTCACCATCACACTTCCATTCTGGGCCGTTGATCATTTACACCACTGGGTCTTTGGGGACTTTGCCTGCAAATTCATGACTGCTGCATTCTTTGTTGGGCTGTACAGCAGTGTCATTCTGCTGACTGCCATGACAGTGGATCGTTTCATTACTGTGGTGCTGCACAACCGGCTGAGCAACCATGCTATAAGGCAGAAGTCTGGAGTTGGTGCCTGTATAGCTGCCTGGGTCATCAGCATCTTGGCATCCCTGAGTGATGCTATGATAGTAAAAGTAGTAGACTGGGAAAATGTTACCTATTGCGAGCCTGAATTTGATGACAAGCTTGGACATTATCTCCAAGTATCACTGCTATTCTTCCTCCCACTGGCCATCATTATTTTCTGCTATTCTGCCATCCTCAAGACAGTTTTACGAGCTTTAAACAGAAAGAAGCACAGGGCTGTAGCTGTGCTGTTGTGTATTGTTGCAGTGTTCTTCATTTGTTGGGGGCCATACCATATTGTGCTTTTAATTAAATCTCTTTATGAACCCATAGGTTGTAAGGCAGAGGAGCAGTTAGCAGTTGCCTACCATATTTGTGAAATGCTTGCCTATTCTCACTGCTGTATGAACCCTCTGCTATATATGCTCTCACAGAAGATGCGAAAGCATCTGTTGAATCTTTTGCGCTGCGAAAACCTGTGCAGGAAGAACAGGGAGAGAGACACATCTCTCAGTTTTGTTAGTCAGAAAGCAGTTTTCATAGCTGCAAGTTCTGCTATAAACTTGGAACTGCACAACGATCAGTTAAACAGCCACTTGTGAAGTTAAACATCTGTAAATATTCTTATTTAATTTGACATCTTTTTTATGTTCTCCTGAAATTAAGTAGAAATTACATGCATTTTTTCATTTTAATGTGCCAAGTAAAAGCAAAATGTATGTGTGTAAGAATCTGTTTTCTACTGCACTTTTACAAGCAATGCTGTTTTTGTAAAAAAATAAAATACAATGTTTTTGTTTTGTTTTTTTCTTTTTTTTGTGTCCCGTTTGGATCTTTGGCCATCAGAATTGTTGTCTTAAGGCCAAGAAAGATGCCAAGCGGATTTATTTTACCAAGTGGATCATCATGGCCTTGCCATATTGGTCCATTTGATTGACCTTTATTATAATTATGAATTTATTTTATTTTCA